CCCCGGAGAAAAAGCAAAAGGATAGCTTAAATGAAAATAACATAGTTAAGGAAAAGAGTGTCACTGATTTGAGAGTGAAGAGACCCTTACATCTTAAAGCAGGTGTCCCTTATGGTAGGTTTTGATTACTGATGGCTAACTATGAGAGCTCTTAACTTAGTTTCTGATTTTTGGCACTGAAAGTGTGTAGCTTTGAAGCAGACTTCTACTTCTGGCCCTGCAATTATCTTGGGGATTTTGTCAACACTATTTAGAGGGAGCATGAATTAAGAGAAGAGGAATCCTGAGTAGAACTTGGCTAGTTCAGTCCAAATTTTCTGAGCTGCTTACTTAGGTGTTGCATAGATAATGTTTAGTGTTCCTAGTGTCCCCTTTCAGGAAGGGGCATCTTGAAACGAGGAGGGTCATCAGACATAGTCGTTTCAGCTGATTTCATTCTTATGCATCATTTATTTTCTTGGTTAACAGCTCTAAAATGTATAGCAGTGAACAAGAGTGATATTATTGGTAATCCATAGTATCTGTCTTATGTTTTGTTTAGTCATAACTAGGGAAGGAGGGTAGGTGTGTGGGAGACGCACATTAGCCATCTTAATCATTTGTTACATATGCTTTGCCATCTGTTGCGTTTGTGGACTCATTCCTTTGCAGTACATACGTAGAAAGATGGCCTTGGAATTTTACAGGAATAAAAAGTATCAGAAGAGAGATATATGGATGTGCCCCTTGGAGCTATCAAATGTGAAGCCTTGCATAAGGGGAAAGGTTAGAGGGCATTTCTGAACAATACAGACATGAATAGCTGGAGTAGTTGGTATACTTTGTAGCTGTATTGTGTTCCAGTTCTATTTCTTTACTAGATTTGGGATCTATATACAGTATAGACCGGTCTTAAAACCTGAAGGAGAACTTGGTATTGACAGGGTATGTCTAGTTTTCATGATCATGCAGTGTGCAAATGGAGAGAGTATTTAATCTCAATCTGGGTGTGAGGTTTATGGTTGTGATAAGAGGAAATGCAGAAGCAGTGAAGAGACTTTTTTTAAAGGAAAGCTGTGAGCAAGGTAGGAGTAGAGCCTATTGGATGATGATATGTGCAGCCATGGAATGAAGATGGAGCAGGAGAGAGTGTGTGTGGAGGTGAAGGAATGAAGAGGTAAGAGAACAAGTATAATTGGTTGAACTGCCAATAATTTGTAGAATGTTAATTGCAAAAAAGCTTAGGGGAAGGAGGATAGACCAGAGCATATAAACTTTTTTTGGGATTTTATCTAGGTTCAGTTAGGAGAAAGAAGTCAAACTGAAGTGCATCTAGTTTGAGTAGACAGAAAAGAGTGGAGATTTAGATGAAGAGTGGATAGTGACTAGTGTTTTTTCTTAAAGCATAGTAGGGGTGCCTTTGTGTGCTTTGGAAGTAAGGTGGCTGGATGATAAAAATAAACTGGACAGATGACCTCAGAGTCTGGGAAGCAAAAAAAAAAAAGTGAAAGGAGTTGATGCTGCTCTTGAATGAGGACCACTGAATGGAGGCATTTGCACTGGAGTTCCCAGTGTTTTCTCTCTGTTTTTAGCAGATGAAGTGGATGTGATTCCTGGAATAAAAGAACCAGGATTAGAGAAAACAGTGGAATTAAGTTTGTTGAGGTATATGGGTCATGTGTGAGAAGAGTGTTTGAGCCCACAACCCATTCTGAGGAAGTTAGCATACTGCAGGTCAGTGCAAAGCTGTGAAGAGGAAAAGATTAGCTAAAGGACATGAGGAATTTAAATAGTACCTTTTGTTCATGGGTATATTCAGCTCTGTATCTTATTAATTTTTTTCTTCAGAGTAGTTGATGGCTGGGGAGAATTTTGAAAAAAATTACATTTACCAAGAAAGCAGGCTGTAGCAAAAGCTTCATGTCCAGATCTGTTTTTTCCTCTACTTTGGCTTTCTTCACATATGGATATGCTGTTTTTTTTAACAGTGGTCTAGAATCTGAGCTGCAGCTCATTTGTTTTCGGCAGCCGTTGTAACTTGCAACTGATTGTGTGAAGAGTATGCTCCATTCCTCACTTATGAGGCAGAAAGAACCCTGATGCTTTTGCTCTGATGATTTAATTCCAGCAAAGTACTGGGAAGAGTTAATTGAGCAGAGGGATCCAAATGATATTAAAGATTACTTACTGAACATTATTCATCAAGATGGTTTTGGTATCTTTTTCACAGTTTATGTTTAAGCAGGTTGTGTAACAACTGTGTGCCCAAAAGGGGACATTGTGTGACTTTTGATTTGCTCCCTAGCAGTACTACTAGCAAAGCTGTAAGTAGAGCTGAGGTTTGTTAGATCTATCTCTGTCTCCTTGCACATTTCACTTGAATGACTTTGTGGCTAATTTCTGCTGGAGCCTTAGGGAACTTACCAAATGCACGTCATAGATGAGGAGTTGACTTACAGCTAAGATGGTAACTAAGAATATAGCAAGTATTTAGATGAGAAGCAAGACTGGGAACCTAGCTGAAATTCATGATGTTTGAAGAAGCATAGGCAAGAAACAGGGAAGAGTGGTTGTAAGAAGTGAGACTACCTGGAAGTTACCCTGTAGATTTCATAGGCAGGTAGCTGTTTGTATGATCTTTGATGGATAACCAAAAGCTAAATCTATGGGCTGCTTTGTAAATGCTCCACTGACAACCTGTCACTGGAAATATAACAGTCCTAATGCTTTTCTATGCCAAGACATTTTTTTTTCCTTTTTTTTTTTTTTTTTTTTTTTGTTTTCCTTCAGAAAACTGAACAGAATTAATATTTGATTTGTTTCCTTTTCAAATGTACCAAAAGCTGGCTTACCTGGTGTATCATTAGTGGCATCTGGTTTCAAAATTATAGTCTAATGGTGAGAATATTTGTCCCGGAAGGGGGACACTTCAGTTTTCTGCTTAGATTGTGAGTCTTCAAACTCACAAATCACACAGCATTGAAGAGTGATCCCTGTGCACGGTTGAGTCCATTTATTCCCACTGGAAGTTTTAGTGATTTTACTCAAAATTCTCCTGCAGTGTTCAGCAATGTAAGAAGCAGGTCCACGAAGGTCCTTTTCTAATACATACATGTATGTGTTTGTGCTGGTATTATTTGAACAGGGAAACACAACAGCTGATTTACTTCACTGTTTGTAGAGGTGTAGCAGTCATAATGATGCCAGTTTAAAACATGAACAGAATCACAGGGTATTCTAAAACAATGAAGCAGGATTTTAGGCCAATGAAGAAATATATATTGGTGAGTGGAGAAGTTTAGCTTTGTTTTAAATATTTAGTGTACGCTTGACTCATTTTATCATACTTTTTGGTGAAAACATGAGAACTAGAAACTTACCCGAAGGTGTCATGCAGTGTTTTAAATACAGCAGCCTGAGTTTTAATTTCTTATTTACTGTTAGACTTTCAAGAAAGTTGCAGAGGCTGGAAATAACATTTTTGTAGAGATGTTTCCCTATGAGTATTCTGAAATCAGAAAAAAAAAAAAAA